AAAAAGACAGGATCGATAAAATGCATGGCAAAAAGCTTTGGGGTTTATCTATCGTTTTCAATACCATTTAAAAATAGGTTTTGATTGATGTAATAGTTGAAAGAAACTCCCAGATCTCATCTATATCTACCATCCATGCAGGCAGGAAAACTGAAACTCAAAGTGATTGAAATTCTTTAGGAGAGTTGATTATGATAGACATCTAGCACCAGAAATGTGATGGTTTGGATTTCTCCATTCTCAAACTGCTCCAGTCAGAGTGCTTGAGTTTAAATCTTACTTCCATCATCTACTAGCTGTGTGACCTTGACAAGTTTCCTCCTATGGAAAGTGAGCACCTACCCTACAGAATTGCTGAGAAGACTGAATGAGGAGAAAAAAAAACAAACCAAGGACACAGAGAACAACGCCCATGTGTTGTCAATGTAATAAGCATGCAGTAAATGTGAGAGCTCTTAATATAGTGATACTGATGATGTTTAAAAACCTTTAGGATTAGACATCAAAAAAAAATGCTTCGTAATGTCAAAATAATGAAGAACAAATGGAGATCTGGCTCTAATTAATTTTTTTGCTCCAAGGTAGTAGAAAATTCCTAAGTGTGTTCCAGTGTCTTCATATATAGTGTAAGTTCCAAGACATATTTACAAAGAAAATATCAGGATAAATTTTTAGCTAACTCATCCTTAGAAACATTCCAAAGGAGTGAAATAAAAAACATGTATATTATTAAGTTTATATTAGCGATCTCCATTACAAATTCTTATAGGCACATTTGAGTATAAATTATGGATTCAGAAAGGATAAATTGGTTAGAGCAGCAAAGATGCTAAAGTATAATGCACTCCACATGGCATGCAGCCCACTTCATCAAAAGGACAGTGCTACTGAAAATGACTGAAACTGCACTGTCACATTTTCTGATTCATCTCCTTCACAGCTATATCCTGTTTCAGTCTTTCTCCTTCATGGGCCTGTTTCTTATTCAGATTGCCACTAGAAATACCTGGAGTTCTTCATATAAAGTCATTCAAACAATCCTGAGTCATCACGGCTAATTTATTTTTACTACAAGCCACAGCCAGAGTTGCCTGCATGGCGACGTGTGGTAACAATGATTTTCTCCAAACATGTAAGCTAGAAAAGACCCAGGCTTCAAGCACATGTTGAATTGAGTGGCTCTAGTGAGCACTACTGACTATGCCTAACCAAATCCAGAAGAGGACACAAGATCTCAGCTCAAGTCCGTATAAAAATAGAGGAATGTCAGTGGAGGTCATAAAGTTCCAGAAAGCTAAACAGGAACAACACGAGACAAAGAGCCAACAGCCTCCTCGCTGCCTACCAACTCTGACAATTTCCAGTCTCCAAGACAACCCCTAGAAGATGGAGATAACTGGAGGATGTGAGTTTTACCTGGCCCCAAAAACACTTCCTGGAGTATTTTTACTGTCCCCAAGCAACAGAATAGCCCTCACTGCTATTTCCTTCCCTCTAGTCTCTCTCTCTTCCAATTGATCCTTCTGTAGAAGAGAAGGCAAAGGCCATCCTCAGGTTCCCCACCAGCAGTGATCACCAGATGCCAGCAGAGTGTCACAGGTTAGTTCCAAGTTCAGGTCCTAATCACCTCATACTTAGATTCCTGCAGCAGCTACTTACCTGGCCTTGTCTTGCTCCCCTCTGACTCACCCTGTTCACGTTCAATCATCCTAAGATAGTGCTTTGATCATGCTACTCACTTCTTCTAGTGTCTCCATGAGGAACAGGAAACAAAGTTTAAATGCAGTGATTGTCTAGAATGTATCCTGTCCCCAATCTCTTTTTCCAGCTCTGTCTTGTACTTCTCTCATATAAATCTTCACATTTGGTCAAGCGGTCCTCAGTACTCTTGCTTACTTCACTTCCCAGACCTAACATCTGCTGCCTATCCAATTCCTACCTATATTTTAAAACCCAACTCAATCACAACTCTTCTGTGAAGTAGTTATCCCCTGACCATACCATTTGGGAGGTTAAAAAATAAACCCTCCATTCTTTGAATTCTTATAGTGCATAAATATATGTCATGTATAAATATCATTATTCATTTACTCAATAAAATGCGCCCAGATGTCATACGCCGGAAGATATTCTAGACCAGATGATAAGGCCCCCCAAAGTTGTCAAAGTCTAGGGGAGGAAAGAAAAGGAAGGAATTACCATTTATTGAGCGCTTATTCGAAGCAGGTCACCGTGCCATCCATTTCCGTATGTCAGCTCAGTTCATCCTCACAATTCAATGATGTAGCTATTGTTACCACTTTATAATAAGAAAGCTGGGTCTCAAATTGTTGAACAACTTGGTCAAGACTGCTTTTTTTCATTCCCCACTGTCCCTGTACTTTCTCAGACTCTCTGCCCATCTCTGCCTTGCTCCATCTTTATGATGCTAATCTCAATAACCTGCATCACCCGAGCTCCTTGGCTCTCTGGCTTCCAGTTAGGTTGGGTGAATGGAAAGCACTTCTCAGCCACAACTCCTGAAGAAGGATTCTTCCATGGCTTCTGCTGTTCTTACCAGGATCTAGTAAGACCACTGCCTTCTGCTGTCCCTTCAGGTTAGGTGTGGTAGGTAGGCACGTTCTACTTGAAGGCTAGTGAAGCACCTTAGCCCTGCCCACACCTCTGTAAAAAGCCTTTTTATTAAACTCTCTTAGTGTGCCAACTGTTTCCTGCCAGATATGAAAAGTAGAATTTGAACCCATGTCCATCTTCCTAAAGAGTCTGCGTTTTTCACTACAGTAACTAACTGCTGCTGTATTGGAGATCTGCACAAAGTCCTGAGGGCCAAAGAGAAAAGTACCTCACTCTAATAGAAAGGATCAGGAAAGAGTTTTCTGAACAGTCACTTACGAGGTGAACTGAAAATCAATATGCAAACAGTGAGGATAGGCATTCAAAGACAAAATGGATAACAAGTTCAAAGTCATATAGGCATAAAGTATACATCTTATTACTTAAGGAGGTTATGTACAGTGCTCATGAGAGACTAGCAGTAGTTGAGTTTCTAAACCTTGATGATTATCACTGACTTCTTCATCCTGATCCACACAGAAAGATTAGAAGTAAAGAATTAGCCAGATCCTAAGCACCAGAACCAATGCACCTACTCCCTACCTTCAGTAGATCCCCATCACAGAAGATAAACCCAACTATTCAGCATAATATACACTCCCTTAATGACCTGTCCTGCCTGACCCAACCAGTCTCATCTACCAGCACCACCTCAAACTGTTCTTTGAGTATGCCATAACCTTTCGTGCCTCCGTGCTTCTGTACATGTTCTTCTAATTAGAGATACCTACACCCCTACTTTCCACTTGATAAACTCCTTGTCTTCAGGACTCATCTCAGGTGTCTGCTTCTCCGTAAATATTTCTGGCCCTCCAACATGCTTCCACAGTGCCTTGCACATAATTCTACAACAGCATTTCACAGCACAGACATGCATTATATTTACTTGTTTGCATGTCTTTCCACTTATCCAGCCGCGAGTTCCTAGAGACCAGGTTCTATAAGAAGGGAGCAGACTGTAGAAGTAAGTGCTTGGGCTCTGAGGCAGACTACCTAAATCTAAATCCTAGACTCCGAACCCAAACAACTAGGTAAACTTAAGCAAGTTATTTACCCTCTCTGGGCCTCAGTTTCATCATCAATTAAATAGATACAACATTTACCTCATAGGGTTGTTAAGTGAGTCACATGGAATACCTCCTGTATACAGTAAGTCCTCAAGAACTATTACTTATTAAGATATATGTGTGTATTCCTTATTTCCTGTATTAAAAAGCTTATGTTTATTGAATGTATAAATTTTCCTACTATTTCATATTGCTCTACATAGGTACCAAATTCTACTTAGCCTTTCTTTTATTAAATCATGAAGTCTCTCATCTCTAAATATGTACTTATTTTACAATTAGTTAAAGATAAACAGGACCTTTTCTATAAAGGAATTTAGCTTCTTGCCATTTTTGTTGGCCCAGTCACTGAATGTGATATTCTCCTGGCTTTCTAGCAATCTTCACATGTGCCTGCCACACATTTACCTCCACAGAAGGGCAGTTCTGTTTTAATAATTTACAAAGGGTTATTATCAAGTCATGAGGAATAACAAAAATAGGCTCCCTACAGTACAGGAGTGAACCACTGGCAACCTTTTTTTTTTAATGCTAAAGCAATGCAAAATTATTGCAGTCATGAAATACTTTTCTAAAAGCTTTAAAGTGGCATTTCCTAAGCCCACATCTTTAATCGTCACAGCCTTGGTAAAAAGTTCACGTGAAAAACTCCCAACCAAGAAAAACAATCAGAGCACACAGAACAATGTGCTCAAAAGATGAGCAAGAGGTGGAGACCAGCTCCTGATTGAGCCTCAAATTTCTCAGCGAAGGCAACACTGACAAATGGTACTTGGTTAGAAAAGGACAAGGCTGCGGCCTTACATCAGTATAAGGGCCACACCTGAGAGGCCCAGCACTTTTGCAGAGTCACTCTGGCTGGTTGCAGAGGGCAGTGTAGGCCTTACTGGCCCAAAAGCCCAGTGGAGGGGTTCAGCTACCACACCAGACCCCAGGCCACCTTTCCCTCCATGCCTCTCTCATCCTAATACTGGCTTTGTTGTCACCTCTCCTCACCAACTCTGATTTCATCATTACTATACCTTAGCTCATTGGCCTCTATCCTCAGCCTAGACCCTGGCTCTGATAGGGCTCAGAATTCACCAGTTTCTAAATCAATGCCTCTTTGACAACTCTCTGCACCAGTGCTTTCCATGAAACCTGTGAAACCACATTCCTTGCTGGAACTCACATGAGTACACTGCCACTTGTTGGTGTTAACAACAGGAAAACCTAAGTACTTAAAGTTAAAAATTTGATGATTTTTTTAAAAACTAAGAGAATGACAACACCATTTGACAGCATATTTAATATTCTTATAAAAGACCATTCTCTACTTACAGGCCTTCTGGTTGAGGCACCTTGAACAGAGTGATAAAACTCTGGCTGGACTCGGCTATTCTTCTTGATTCTTCGTTTCCTTGCTGAATTTTCTTGCTCACTCTGATGGTGAACTTCCACCAGAGGCTTGGCTTCTTCCAGACGGGCAGCCGCAGCCGCTGCAGCTCGTCTTCTAATGTGCCGGGGGCTTGCTCTGAATCCCTGTGGCAGAAAACACAAGCCAACAAATCCAGACTTGTATTAAGTTAGTTTAAAAATTCTCTGGGGCTAGTTTTACAGAGAGTTCCGAAAGTCACCGAGTTCAGTGAGATCACTTACATTCCCAAGGTGAGCGCGCAGAAGGCATGTCAACATGAGAGCGAGATTTATTCACCAATGTTCTCAAAAGCACCTCAGTGTTTCAAGGCCCAGTGTTAGTCTACATTAAAAAATGTTTCTGATCCCATAAAATCAGTCCAAAAGAAAGGGCAGGTGGGCACATTGCTTTAATTACGTATATAGAAATCAGAATACATGTAAAGAAGAGTATTTTCACTCAGGCATGAAGCAGGATACAAGGAGTAGGACTGAATATTAATCCCAGGTAAAGTGCCACTCTACATTCCTGAGATCAGACTCTTCAAAAGAAGGAAAG